CACTACACTGATAAATTACAGTATTTTTTTCTCTACTGGTCTCATCTTGTAAGCTTCTAAAATTGGGTTGACTAATACTTTTGTTCTGCAAAAGGTGTACCAAAAAATGAAATAATAATAAACTTTAAACAAAAGAAAACTAATATAAAATACTTTTATATTTCACAAAACTAATTGAGAAAAAAAAACAATTCTGATAGGCTTTCTTGACACAATAATATTAGGAATAAATTTTGTTCCTTGTTGAGAGGTGAAGTATGGAAGATGACTGAATAAGTACCAAGCCCTGCTCCTATGCAGACACTAATTCAACAATATGCAAAATATTCTCTTTTGTGAGAAAGCTAGAGACCAGCCAAGAGGCTCCTGTACCCTAAGTAAGTATCACGCCAGCCACATTGACGTTTACAGAAAAATTTGGAGCACCCACTTGCCAAAAGCCCTGCCCCTAGCTCAGCAATGTGCAATGAGAAGGAAGATCTCAACTCCTCACTTCCCCTGGGGAGTAAATAGAAAACTGAAACATAGGTCTACTGTTCAGATTTGGAGGACAGTATCTAAGAGACTGATTTCAGCCTTGTTTGAATCTAAGTGCTGACAGGAAAGAGTGTCAGATAAGAGACCAGTGAAAACAGAGGCAGCCCTTTGAACTAGCACACACTCAGTTACCATCGTCTCTCTCTCCAGCTCAGCATAACAGTTTCACCTGACTTGGCATGCTGACAGGAGCTGGAATACTCTAGATGTTGAGAATATAAAAGCAAATATAAGAGCTCCAGAGGACCTACAGTACAGCAGACAGAGGCTGGTTCAACTTGACAGTTTGTCCCTCAGGGGAAAAAGAGAAAAATAAAAGGTGTGTTAAATATTGACTTTTTGGGGAGCTGCCTAAAAACTGGTTGCTTTCTTGTTTGTCTCAGAACACCAACGGGAGCTGGCATAATTTAAATGCCTGAGGCCAATGAGGAGAAAAAGAAATGGGTGGCTTACAGTATCATCAAAGGATCTTCATTAGTGGAGACAGACATCATAGGAAGGAAAAAATTTGAGCTTCTGAAAAAAGAAACCAGAAAAATCTCTCTAATTAGGAATTTACAAATTCACAGAAAAAGTTTGAGAGGCCTCCAAAATCTGTATCTGGGTTATTCTGTGAGAAACTTTTCCTCTTTGGAGCCAGTTCACAAATACTGGGAGAGTGGGCTACTCTTCAAATGTATGGATCCCAACAAAAAGTAACAAGGCACATGAAGAAACTATTGTACCGAACAGCTGGGCACATAACCCAAGCAAAGCATCAACAAATTATCTCCAGAAATAAGTCCTAAGGAAATGAAGATATATAAAACAACATAAAATTCAAAACAACCATTATAAACGTTCTCAATGAATTCAGAAAATAAATACATAAAATAAGAATATCAACAAAAACATAGAAAATATTACAAATAAACAGAAAATTTGAAACTAAAGAATAAAATCATTTAATTAAATAATTCACTAGAATAATTCAAAAACAGACTTAATTATGCAGAAGAAAAAAAATTAGTGAACTTTAACACAGTTCATTTGAAATGAGGCAGAGGAGCAAAAAGAAAATGAATGAAGAGTATAGGAAGCCTAAAAGACTGATGTGAGTCCATCAAGGGAACAAATATACACATTGTGAGAGTTTTAGAAGGAGAAGAGTAAAAGAAGTAAAACATTTATTTATTGGAAGAAATAGTGGCAGAAAACCTCCCAAATTGGGGTAAGGAAATGAACATGTACATTTAAGAAGTCCAATGGCATAAACTCAAAGAAGACAACAGAAATATAATCAAATTGTCAGAAATAAAAGACAAAGAGAGGACTTTAAAAGCAGCACAATAAAAGTGACTCATTATATACAAGAAATCCTCCATAAAACGAACACAGCAGTTCTCAGCAGAAACCTTGTAGGCCAGAAGGACTAGAATGACAGATTCAAAGTGCTAAAATAAATAAATAAAACTGTCAACCAAGAATAGTATATGGAACAAATCTGTCCCTCATAAAATGAAAAAGAAATGAAGACATTTCCAGATAAACAAAAGTTGAGAAAGTTTATAATTATTATACTTTCTTTACCGAAAATAATAAAGAGTCTTTCAATTTTAAACAAAAGAATGCAAGATAGGAACAAAAAGGCATATGAAAGTATAGAGCTTGGTAGCAAGGGTAAATATTTAATGAATACAGGATCCAGTAATACTGTAATGGTGGTGGATGAAACGCTTTTAGTTCTGGTGTATAATTAAATTGTTAGTATAAAAATATAACTAAAATATCTACATTCATGTATAAGAAGGTATAATTATGACATCAATAACAGAAAGTGTATGTGTAGAGGAGGAAGTAAATATGCAAAATTTTTTTATTCAATTGGAATTATGTGTTATCAGATTAAAATAATTATACTTATAAGATGTTTTATGGAAGTCTCACAGTAACTACAAAGAACATATCTGTAAGACGTACACAAAAGAAAATAAGAAAGCATTTAAACATTGACAGTATAAAAGTGAACGGGAAAAAAGGCTGCAAAAGAGGAAAAGAGGAACAAAAGAGCTATAAGATAGACAGAAAACAATGAATGATATGACAATAGTCTTTCTCCATCAACAAATATTTTAAATATAAATAAATTAAAATCCCCAATCAAAAGATAAAGAGTAGCTAAACAGATTAAAAACCAAAACCATGATTTAACTATATGCACCCTACAAGAAATTCACTTTAGCTTTAAGGAGTCACATAGGTTAAAAATTAAAGGATGAAAAGAATATATTTCATAGAAGTTGTTGGCAAAAGAAAGCAGGAGCAGACATAATTGTATCAGACAAAATACAATTTAAATCAAAAACTGTCATAAAACAAAAACAACATCTTATAATTATTATAAAAGGATGAAATCACTATGAATATATACCAAATATATATGCACATAGCACCCAAATATGTAAAGTAGGCAGAACTGGATAGAGAGAGTAACATGATAATAGACAGAAATTTCATACCCCACTTTTAATTATGGATAAAACAACCAGACAGTTGATCAATAAGGAATAAGAAGACTCCAACAACACTATAGCCTGATTAAACGCAACCGACACGTAAGAATCAGTCTATGCAAAACCAGCAGAATAAATATTCTTCTCAATTGCACATATTCTTCCCCAGGTAAGAATACATTGTAGGTTGCAAAACAAGTCTTAATAAATTTGAAAAAATTGAAATCACACCAAGTGCCTTTCTTGCACACAACTGAATAAAACTAGAAATTAATACCAGAAAGAGAACTGGACAATTATGTGAAAACTGAACAACACACCACCAATTCGCTGAAGATAAAATCAGGGGAAATTGGAATATGTTCTGAGACAAAAATGAAAACATAACATACCAAAACTTATGAGCAGCAGCGAAAGCAGCACTAGGAAAGAATTTATCATGTTAAGCACCTGTATTATGAAAGAAGAGGTATCTCAAATAAACAACCTAACTTTATTATACCACAAGAAACTAGAAAAAGAAGAACAAAATAAACCCAAACTTAGCAAAAGGAAGGAATTTTAATGATTAGAGCAAAAACCAATAAAATAGAAAAGCTATATAAACAAGTAAACAAAATGCTATTGAAATACCAACAAAATTGACAAACCCTCAGCTAGACTAAGACCAAAAGGTGGTATTAAAACCTAAATTGAGACATTACAACTGATGCCACAGAAATAAATATTACAAAAAAAATTACAAAAATGTATACATCTATAAATTGAATAACATCAACAAAATGGATCAATTTCTAAACACATAAAACCTACTAAGACTAAATAACGAAGACGCAGACAGTGTTTAACAGGTAAATCTCTAGTAAGAAAATTGAGTCAATAAGCAAAAACCTTTCAACAGAAATAATGTCTAGGACTAGATGGCTTAACTGGTGAATTCTACCAAATATGTAGAGAGGAATTAATGTCAAATCTTTCTCCACTTGCTAAAATATTGAAGAGGAGACAATACTTTCAACATAATTTTATGAGGCCAGCCTTATTCTGAGACTAAAACTAGATTTAAAACACTTAAAAAAACCAAATATGAGGTA